TAGTCACAGAAACCAGAATTATTCTGTTGTTTGATGGTGAAACTATAGCTCGCACCACCAGACCTGTCTTAAATAACAAATTGTTCAAAATGTTTGAATAGCAGAAGGAATCCTTTATAGGAATCCAGTCTTGTTAACTGGCCCGAGTGTTCATTATTCCCATCCAAGAGAAGGAACCATAACATACCCCTTCTATTAAGCAGAACACACACACTCACCAAGTCCAAGGGGGAGTTCTGTCTTAAAACCAGGGCATCATACAATCCAATGAGAATTATCCATCTGTGGCAAGAGTTGAATGCTCCCTAAGCTTTTATCTACTGTTTTAGGTTTAGGAATCCACCTGTATCATTGACTTATTTATGAAGAAAAACAGTAGGCACATAACATTAAATCTAGGAAATTTCCAATTTGTTCATTTGCTTGTTTGTTTCAGGTATCTTCTCTACCATCTGAGACAAGATAAGAACCTAACAGAAATGAAGGTCTGGGAGTCCAATACCTATCCTACTTTGCTACAGGGAGTTACAGTTTGAAAAACTATATCTACAGGCATTGATCGGGCCCCACATGAAGGCTCTGTTAATGCTATTACATTTTCTAAAGCAAGATGGAGGGATTGTAACAGGGCCTCCTCAGTCCTATCTCTGACCACAAACCATGCAAAGACCCTTTTGCTGGTCCAACATGCTGTACAATTTATTTATAATTGAGGTTTCTCCCCCCATACATAACATCTTTACCAAGCAGGTGAGAGCTTAACACGCTGTACAATTTATTTATAATTGAGGTTTCTCCCCCCCCCATACATAACACCTTTACCAAGCAGGGGAGAGCTTAACTAACACAATATCCCCACCCCATTTTTCTCTTGTGCTCTTCCTTCCACGTCCTCCTTGTGGATTGTGGCTAATGGCTTAAATAGCCTTTCTGTTCGGCCCTGCCCTACTCACAAATTAGATACAGCCTTGCATAATCAGCTCCAACATGATCAGTGCATCTGTGAAGAACGCTAACTCTAGCTTTTATACCTAACTCCCTGGCACACAAATGTACACAGGTAGGCCTCCTGCCATAGGAGGTGCTTAGGGAGACTTCATTTTTATTGTGTTAACCCTTCCACAAAGACTTACTTAGGGACAGAGGATGTCACCAATTTGTATCACCATACTGGATATATGGATCAACTTTTCATTAAGAAGAATAATGGCACAAATTTATCTTCAGTCCTAAATATTTATTTTCAAAAATAGTGTGATGCATCAAATCTATATAAGATTCATATGTTAAAGTTTTGTATAGCCAGCAGGACCATTGATGGGGGGAAGGCAAAGCAGGCAGTTGCCCCAGGGCCCAGCAATTCAAAGAGGACTAGGACTCCTGACTGCTTTCACTTCTAATGCAGCAGCAGTCGTGGCTGAAGCCTCAGGTCCTTTAAATCACCATTGGAACACCATGCCATGTGCTCCATGTGGCTCTAAGGGCTGGAGAGAATGCACCATGGTCCAGGCAGTGTAGAGGGCTGGCTGCCCCAGCCCCTTCCCTACCACTTGAGACCTGATAGTCACATTTCTCACAGAGCCAAATTTAAACCTCTTCCTATTAAATGTTTATTAAAAGAAACCAAACAAACAATAAATAGCAAATTTCTAAGGCACAACAGTGACATTTCACACAGAAAGACTACCTATATTGCAAAACAGGACTTTATATTCCACTTTATTTTTTTCAGAATGCAGCGTCAGTTACGGCGTCACAACCAATGGCTGCATATTCAGAAATATTTTGGTTAACATATTATCACTTAACATAATATTAAAAACAATAGAACTGAGAACAATAGAAAAACACATTTTTGCTCATTGTCAAGTGGATGATGTGGAGCTGAATTCCACTGGGCTCCTTCACTTTGGCTCCCTCTCTGTGGGGCTTGAATAGTCCTGTATGCTCTTGCTAGGCTCCATGACCTTGGCTTTTTCTTGATGAGAAGAAAAAATAAGCAGTGGTGGTATCTCAATAAAGCCACCTATTTATGGCACCAAATGAGAGGTCAGTCAAGAAAAATTGTGCAAGTCTGTGACCAACCTTTTCCTTTCTTATCCGAGGAGTGAAATAGTTAACAATGACAATGTATCACTGGGCATCTGAGTTAATACCTCATTGAGATGAATGCAGCAGCTCGTTCTTCTCAATGCTATTGTTCCAGGCTCTCTGCAGGCTCATAAAGACATCACATACGCTGTGGTCATGTGTCTGTGATTGCCTTCATAACCATAACAACTAGAGACCTGTTTTTTTAACTTTAACTGAAAGACAGCTTTCCTGAGAACAAGGCTATATCTAGACTACAGGCTTCTTTCGGAAGAAGCTTTTCCGGAAGAGATCTTCTGGAAAACTTATTTCGAAAAAGAACATCCACACAGCAAAAGCATATCGAAAAAGCGATCTGCTTTTTCGAAAGATAGCGTCCACATTAATTGGACGCTAGCTCTCATTTAAGTTGTGATTACCAGGGCTTGACGAACTGTGGTGAAAGCCGCTCACCAGCCCCGCACTGCGCACCACGGGTGAGTAGATTCAATGCTTTATCGAGCCCTGGTGATTACTATGGATGGAGTGGCCACTAGTGCACCCATGTGTTTTTTTTTCAGAAGAGGCCTCAAGGAAAAAACAAAAACCCTCCTCCCCGTCCACACACGCCTTTTTCCGAAAGAGCTCTTCCTTGTAGAAAGAGGTTTACCACTGTCAGAAAACCCCCTGCATTCTTTTGACTTTCTGTCAAAAGAACATAATTGCAGTGTGGATGTAAGTAGTTTTTCCAGAAAAACAGCTGTTTTCCGGAAAAACTCTGCAGTGTACACATAGCCCAAGAGAGGTGCTGCTGGTACACTGTACCACTGTGTACAGCTTCAATCAAACCCATGCCAAAATCCCATTGAACAAATGGAATAGTAAATTCTCTGCTAAACTTGTGAACTCAGGCTGGTTTAAAAACTTTTGATCTTTGGAAATTTGCTTTTTTTCCAAATCAAAATTTCTCAAAATTCCCTAATATCTTGATTCGGAAATGTTATAATGTTTGACTATCTTTGAAATGAAACATTTGTTTCAATGAGGCTGAAGCATTCTAATGTAGTTTACAGGCCTCCTCTCTCACCCTAGCCCAAGGTTTTCTGGTACAGTGAAAGGGTATGGGACACATCAACCAACAGGTTTATATCACACGCTCTCCCAGACAACTAGCAGTTCCCCCTGCTCCAGTTCATTGATTTCACATCTGTCAGAGATTTCTATGGGCAAGTATATTTGTTCGCCTAGGAAATGGTTAAGGGGACTTTCCATGACGCAGCAGGCTGAGTCCTTACCTGTACCAGAGCAGGTCACATTAGCAAGAATAGTTCTAAAACAACAGATGCTCCTGCTCTTGGAGAAAGCATTCTCCTCTGCAGTCCTAGTCCAATTTCCTTTTGCAGTAGGAGCGCTCAAAGAATCTGATGTGATTTCACAGCTCTGTACTCCATACACCAGCTGTGCTGCTGGATACCTCAGCCTCTTGAGAGAAAATCATAAAGAACAAAAAAACGTGGCTGGAATTCAATTCCAGAGAGAAACACAAGCGGGTTTTTCGCTCTCACTGCATCTCTTCCTTCCTGCAACACTGCTTCTTTCCTGGCCCAGTTTGACAGAACTATTCCCATTCCCTTTTAAACATCTTTCCCATAATAATGGATCGGAGACCTAAATCTGTGGTTTTCAAACTTTTTTTTTCATGACCCAGTTGAAGAAAATTATTCATACTCATGACCCAGCATTTGACTAGAGCGCAGGCTCCAGGGTGGGGCAGCAAGGATGAGAGGTTGAGGATATGGGACGGGAAGACTTTGCTTGGGGGAAGGGGGCCAACCTACGTATTAATTCAGCACTCATAAAATATGACCATTGTCTGTCACCACTATTGTCTTGTTATTACATATGTATTCCCCCATCCGTCTGCGTCCATCTGTCAAATCTTGTCTTCTATGAGTGCAAGCTTTTGGGGCAGGAAGCTTTTGTTCTGTATTTGTAGAGCACCTAGTACAGGGAACAGGGAAGCTGACAGATTCACCAGGCCCCTAAGGCAAGGGTGGGGGACAGCTCAGTGCCCCCCAAAATGCTGGCACCTCAGGCAGAAGCGATGGGGCTGTGCTGCAGGAACTGCTCTGTGTCTCCCCACTACCGCACCCCCTGTCCGCAGTGCTACCTGAGGTTCGAGCAGCCACCACTGCTGCTGCAGTAGTGGCAGCAGCAACAGCCAGGAGCCCTGGGCTCTTTTGAATTACTGGGCCCTGGGGCAGTTGCCCCATTTTCCCCATGAGCAGGCTCGACAGAGTGGTCCTAGTCCATGACTAGGGCTCCTAAGTGCTACGGTAGTACACATAAAAATGAAATGTAGTAATTTAAACTTATTTTCACAAATTGAAAACTGAGCATTTATTTTATTAAAGAAACTTTACTAGATGTTTTTCAATTTAACTTAATACTTTTGAAATATAAGTACAAAACACAATGAAATATACTTTGCTAACGTCTACAAAAGAATCTAAAGAACAATGCACTTCCATCATTTACATGATTCAGTTTCACAATAAAATAGGAGAGCTTATTTTAATATTTACAATACTGAGAGAGGACTCTTGTGCTGCCCTTTGTTACAACTGGCTCATTTGGAATAATATCTAATCCCCTGCTCCTATGGTTGGACCTTCCTGGGCAGATCTTTGTGTCTGGCACAGATCCAGGCTGAG